GCCAAGATCAAAGAACTAGTATTGAGAGAATACTGGTGGCCAAAAATAGGACAAGATATTGAGAAGTATGTCAAAGAGTGTGAAATATGCTAGTGAGAGAAGTCTATAACCCAGGTCCAAGCTGCTCCACTACATCTGAATAAAGTTCTAGGATCACCCTGGATCCACATATCAGTCAACATGATCATGGGTCTCCCTGAAAGTAATAGCTTTGATGTTATCCTTATCATCATTAATCACTTCTTCAAAGTGATCATTCTAATCATGTGCTTCACCAAATTGACATCAGAAGGGTGGGCAAGAATCTTATGCAATGAAATCTATACTAAATACAGAATGCTACAAGTTGTCATTTCTGACTGAGAACTGTAATTTGTTTTAAAATTCCTTGATGACCTGTATAAACTTCTTAATATAAAAAGAAACACTTTAATGGCCTATCACCTGCAAACAGATAGTCAAATAGAGAGGGTGAATCAGGAGGTAGAAAAGTATCTATACCTCTTTATTAACTATTGACAAGATGACTAGATCAAATGGCTCACTCTTGTAGCTTTCTAACACAATAACAGAATACACTCAGCTACAGAAAAAACACCATTCTTTGTCAACTATGGCTGACACCCTACTATCACTCAAACAACCCACAGTTATATCTTGATCCTGGCATCCTCTGACTTTAGTACTACAATAGCACAAATTTATAATGAAATACATGTTGCCCTCAAGAAAGCAGCCACCATGATAAAACTACACTATGACAAGTATTGTAGACCAGCATACAAATATCACATTAACAATAAGGTCTAGCTTGATATAACTAATCTACATCTTCTCTGCCTGAAAAAAAAACTATCAAACAAACAAACTGGGTCTTTCACTATCCTGGCTATGATCAGCATATCAGCTTATAAACTATGCTTGCCATCACACTGAAAAATTTATAGTGTATTTAACAAGACACTATTAACCTCATATGTTGCCCCAGCATTCCTAAACCAACACCAACTACTACTATCACCTCCAGATCTCATTGATGATGAGGAACACTATAAAATTGAGCAAATTCTTAATCACAAACTATAGAAGATCAAAGCAAAAGGGAGCAGAATGATGATGACAGTTGATCATTTGGTTAGCTGGAAAGGGTATGGTCTAGAATCTAATCAGTGGACAAATGAGAAGTGGATGGATGCTGATGATACCATCCACAAATTGTTATGATTTCTTCAACTAACTCTTATTTATGCTTAGTCAGGATGTTAGAATAAGCACTTAAAGACTGTGGGATAAGGCTTAGTCATCACAACTAGCTAAGTCCATCATTGTCTTTTGATGCAACAATATTGCCTGATGACATATAATCAATCTTTTATGTACAGTAGTAATACTCAAAGACAATAGGCACCAAAACAGAGAAACACACAATAAGTATGTAGTATTATTAGCAAGCCTTGTACAGTATTTAAGGAGCTTGCTCTCACTGATAAATTTCCAGCTTCAAGCTAAAGTTTATTCCATCTCATTCTACTCTTGAGCTAGTCACACAAAGCCTTGAAGCATAGAAAGTCAACACTGATACATAAAAGTGAACTCTAATAGAAGGCTCAAATGCGAAGCCATGTTAGTTTATCACATGCTAAAGTTGATCATATGCAGCTTAAGCCTAATAATTAGCTTGAAGCTTTGCCTTCTCTTTCTCAAGCCCAATTGTGCTAAGAAACCGAATGCCACCAGCCACCACTGCTGATCTTAATCATGATTTCTTTGAATTGATAGCTTCTATCATTGGAATGCCACTAGGACTTCTAGCCATTATCACTCTTTACCATGGATGATAATCAGTAACTGCTTGAATAGTCAGGCACTATCAAGCATTTCAACAAATCTATACCATCCTCCAAAATATAATTCCAGATTTACCTTTCTATGACATCCCTGCCTCTGCCAGAACATCCTTCCAGCTGCAAGAGCAATCCCTATTAGAAGCCAGGCATAGCAACATGCATTTGAGGAGCCTTCAAGAAGAAGAAAGACTCTGATACTTTCCTCGATGATCCAGCAGAGACTGCAACCCTGCTTTCACAGGATTCAGGAACCCTTGGACAATGAACATCACTCAGGAGCCCAAGGAGATCTCTAGTGACATTCCTTTGGACTTCCCCAGCTGTTCTACCTCCCTCAACATTCCAAGAATTGGAAACTGTGCTTGAAATTCCTTTGATGCCACTCAGATAGCTTTGAGACCCCAGACAACCCTCAACTCCCTCCATCATTCTCTCTACACTGCCTCTAAGTCAAACCCATCTATCAGCAGGTTGAAGCTTGACAACTCCCACAGAAGAAGTATTTATCAGGATTTTGCAAATGTGGAGCTCACTATTGCTGTAGCAGAGAACTCCCATAATCACTTTCACATCAGAAATCAGCCAGAAAAAGGGACAGCTAGCACAAGGGGAAGGATTGCCCAGGACAGGATTATACGATGAGTTTTCCCAGACTGGAATCTCATGGTTCCCTTTAACTATAATGATATAATATAGCAGCAGCAGTAGAATCAAACCCAGCAAGCAGAGGTTGAGCAAGCCCAAGAAGAGCTCACAGAATATACTCAAGCAGAAGCTCAGCAAGAGTATGAAGAAGCCAGATATGACCATCAAAGACAATGATAAAAACAATGAGAAAAGACTGTCAGACTGGGGTCAGCTTTCTCCAGCTATTATGGCCTCTAAACCGACACTTCAGGCTCCCCCTTCAGAGAGCCTGACTCAGAAACAGACCTCTGGGCAGGATCAATCAGAAGCATCATCAATAGGGAGGAGGCCATCTAATAAGATCAGGCCACCAGAAACAACCACCCTCTCTCCCTTCAGTATCCTGCCAGAACCGATACCATTTCCTCTAATGTTGACTCTGTCCTTAGAGCCTACAGGCTCTGGTGACATGCTTTCTCCATGTTCAGGCATGCAAAATTGTGAAAATTGTGAATACATAGACCACATTCCAGTCCAGTAAGCATGTAACAGAAAATAGGACTAGAGCACACAGAAACCTAGCTATCATAATGATAAACTGAAGTAACAATAAGCAGAGTGCATGGCTTAGTAACAGACTAATACCAGAGGGGTTAGGCTGCATGTGAGGTCCCAGCACTTGGCCCTAAATATGCCAATACTATTATAAGAGGACATGCTAAAAATAAAAAGACTATGATTGAAATATAATCAGCAAGTCTGATCACATTGATCAAAGATATACAGCCATTGATGCCCTGATGGGACATGCCTTAGAACAGAGAACTGAGACCTAAAGAAAGGTATCTGAGTAATGGGTATTGAACAGAGGAATAGATAGATGACAATAAGCTAACAAGTAGAGGAATATTACTCCAGGAATGAATAGTGCAGGTACTGCCCTGAGCCTTGTGCACATACATATGGTGCCTTAGCATGCATAACACAGCAAGAGACTCTGCTCATACCAAGAAATGGCACTTTTGGTGAGTCAGATAGAATAACTGATTAGATACAGAGAAGCAGAACATAGCTATTGTGGCTGGCTCCTAGCATGAGAAACAACTCTGGGGGTCTGAAACAGTTTACTGCTGTCAGAGATGTCACCAGGGAAATAAGAAAGTGAGCAGACCTGATGAGACCAACTAGCTGATGTCAGCTAGTGAAGGAACAGCAGGCACAGTCATCATCCAGAAGAGAATAAGCACAGTAACTGTGATATGCACATGAATAATACCTACAGAATCCAGCACAGAGTCCTGCACTTTGAGGATATCATAGTAGGATTGTATTAGTAAGTATCCTAGTAGAGTATTTAAATATAGTATCATATGACTGAGAGAAGAGAGTTTCCAACTCCCCACAGTTGCAGTGTATTGGGCACAGAAAGCCTTGCACTCTAGCTCTGGGTTTGTGTTAGTAACCCCAGGCAAGAGAATAAACTGATTATTAATATTATTAAGAGCATTGTGAGAACTAAGCAAGGCATCAAAGCTTGCAAAGGACTTGGGCCCAGTTTGATAAGAGGTTTTGGATTGCGCTGTAACCTGAGAATAAGAGAGCAGTGTCAGAAGGGCATCATTTTGAGTTTTTGAGGTATTAGTGACATGCAGTGCTATAGGTGACAGAGGTTCAAACCCTTTGGCTTGATTAGTGTGCACTTTTGTGTTATTTTCACAGGTTGGCAGAGGTTCAAACCCTTTAGTCTGTCAGATGGGGTTTTATTGTGTTTGTGTCTCTGGATTGCATAGGTTTGAATCCTGTGGGTCTACGATCGGTTTGGAAACTTGTGAACAGAGATCTGTACTTTTGGTCACTTGTGAACATATTTGTGATTGGTTTCTGCTTAGAGCATGAAGCTTTGAGTTGTGTATTGTGTGCATTAGAGATTTGAGTTGATCTGAGCTGTGCTTGGAACCATTTGAGAGTTTTGAAGAAGTGTTTCAACATATTATATTGAACTATGATACACTTTGTCTTGAGGCTCAGCAACATCAGTTGCCACCTCTTGTTTTGATAAAATGAAAAGCTTTGAGACTTAGAGAGGCCTCAGACTGTTGTAAGCACACTATTGCTGTTTGCATGCTCTGATCTCATTGAAGAAGACAATTATATTTGTTGATTGCTACTTTTATCACATTATAATCCCTCTATGAACTAAGAGTTTTGTGTGTATGTTGGTGTGAGTGTGGACAGTGGATAATGCTCTGCTGTATCTATTTTCACCTTGCATGTGCTCAGATCCTCTTCACTGGGTATCTGACAATGCCCACATCTCTGATCAAGCTCTCCACTGATTCTTGGGAAGTAGAGTCACCCACCAGTTTCTTGATCCTAGATTCCAATGAAACTTCAGTCTCTATAGCTGAGAACTGGAGGAGGAAAGAACATGTGGCAGGATATGATATAGCCAGCTCTGAAATTCTCTCATTCAGCATATGGCTCCTAGATCTGACCCAAGTACTGCTGGGCCCAGTACCAGGATCGATGACAGGCTCTCCAGCAACTCTCAGACCAGCAGTCCTGTTCATTTATGACCTGTCTGTCAGTTTTCTCCTCAAGAAAGAGGACAGCAGGGATGAGGGCAATGAGAAGGACAGTGAGGGCCCCTTCCACCTCAAACAACTTATGGAATATGCTGATGAAGACACTGATGAAGAAGCACTGAAAGAAGAGATGAAACAGGAGAGAGGAAAAGAATATCAAGGATTATACAAGCAGAGGATACTCTTTTTATGGAGGGATGCCCACTGGTGGGCCATGCTCTTAGGACTAAAGTATAAATACACAGTTGACACTGAAAAATGAGACATTTTACAGTATGCCACAATAAAGTACATCTGGAAAGAATATGGCTGATGGCATCCAGAGGACCCCCTCAAGCTGATATCCCTGTATCAAACCAAGAAACAGCTAAAGCCAATGCCAAGCTCTCTACCTGTTTCACCAAAGCAGGCCATATACATGGCACCAATCATCCATAGTCAGGCTGAAACCTTGGATCCATCAATCTGAAGTACAGCAACTTGGCTCACCAGGATCTGATACTATCCAAATTCTTTAGCATCACAAGGCATAGGATTTTGGAATCCTTGGACTGAGAAAGGGAGTCAACTTCTTGGTGGACAGCTGCTCTCTGATGAAGCAGAAACTAACAGAATGGGAAAGGAGCCAATATGAGATGATCTCAAGATGGTCCACCTCAGATTCACTATATGAGACAGAGTGATCATCTAAAAAGATACTGCACCAAAAGAAAGCCCAATCACTGATGATCACTCCTTTCACTCCTTCTCAGAGCCACCTATCATATGGAGCCACCCACCATTCGATCAGTGGCCTAACTCAATAGGGCCATTACCAGAAAATGCTGCTGTAATGAATTGCTGATCTGACCTATTATGGAAACCCCATCTCTTCAGGAGTGCTTCTGATGACATCAACTGGTTCATTATTGACTGTGAATAATACTTTGAGGTTTATATTGTATATCTCAGAATTGATATGAATAAAGTAGTCTTCACCTCCTCCTACTTGGAGGATAAAGCCAAAACCTGGTGGATGCTCCTCTCCCTTACATTCTTCTCTACCTCACAACAACACTACCGATACCCCTCATGGCCAGTGTTCAAGCAAATGATATACAATAAGTTCACTGATCTAACTGTGCAAGAAGTACATAAACAAAAGATTAGAAAATATAAGATGGAGGATAGAACAGCCATAGATTACTTCGATGAGCTGGAATGACTCACTAAGCTCGCTGGAATTCAGGATGATATAGCAAACAATAGATGGATGGTTGAGACCCTCAAACAAGGTGTCCCCTCTTCGTATATCACTATGATCTCCACAATCAGTGTCAGAGCACTGATGCTGGTCAGATATGACAAATAGAAAGAAAGAATTGTTGAGATGTATAAAGAGTGACAAAGACAGAAAGCAGAGTCAACAACTCTTCAGGATTATACCAAGAAATTGACCCTGCCAACTCTGAACAAGTTGGAGCAAACTGCCAAGAAATCATTGGGACTCTCGATGGTCCCTGCCTATGGAAGCTAGAAAACTGGGACAGGAATGACATACACAGGAGCTGGAAAGCCGATGGACATAGGCTGGTTAAAGAAAGAAGAAAAATGCTTTAACTGTGGGCAAAAGAGGCACATAACAAAAGATTGCCTAAAAAAGAAGCGAACAAGAGAGGATATCTGAGCTCAGATCACTGAGTTACAAAAAAAAGATGAAGAACTCAGCAAGGAAACCAAAGTGGAGGAGGTAAAAGACAGGGCCAACCAGTAAGCAATTTCACTGGGTTGGCTGAAGACTTTCATAGTGTGCAAGCAACAGCTGCTAGTCGGACTGATAGAATTTCTGTAGATACTCTTATACCTATCTTACCTATGCATTTGAATATACCCCCTATCATGCATACTCCAGAATTGCAACCTAAGTCAACTCAAGTGCCTATAGGCTGAACAGGAGCAGAGGGCTCCAAAACCTGGCTCAAACCATTTGACACTGAGTGGACTTGGAGAGCCATCAGAGAAGCAAAGGACAAAGCAATGGCCAAAGCCATATTAAAAGGCTGGATCCACTGGATCTGAGTTGAGAAAGTGATCAATGAGATAATAGAAGGAATGAAGAAGGCTGAATGATATCAGGCACTGGAATGACTTGATGAATTACAAGGGCCATAAAAATTTATTTACCAGTCCAAAACCCCAGAACAAGATCTAGTCTCTAAAGCCCAGGTTGAAACACTCATGTTCTGATCAACTTACACTATCACCACTCTAATCAATAGTGGATGTACAGAGAGCTCTATTAACTGCACTTTTGTTGATAAGCACCACCTCCCAACCTAAGCTATGGTGGCACCCATCCTGGTCTACAATGCAGATGGAACCAAGAATCAAGCCAGTTCAATTACCAAATTTGTAGAGCTTAGACTCACAATTGATGACCATTCCAAAAGAATTGACTTGGCCATTACAGACCTTAGGACCAAGGAGGTTTTTCTTGGTCATGACTGGCTCATATGCCACAACCCTCTGATCAATTGGAAGACTGGATGGATCATGTTTGTAAGATGCCAGTGCTGAAAAATTCCATTCAAATTATCTAACAAAGATCCAGAAGATCAATGGGATGAGAAGATGGAAGATGGAGAGACCATCCTTGCTGTTGATCTTCAACAAGAACTACATATCCATGCCATTCACCATGCTAATAACTTAGCTGCAAAGGCCAATAAACACAAGGAAGAGAAGATCTTCAAAGAGATGGTATCAGAATAGGCATGTGACTTTAAGGATCTATTTGAGAAAGAGAGTTTTGATGAACTGCCAGAGCCCAAACTCTGGGACCATGCGATCGAGCTGATCCCAAATGCTAATGCCAATCTGGACTGCAAAACATATCTACTTGACAACAGTGAATAGCAAGAACTCGACAAGTTCTTAGATGAGAACTTGACTAGCAGGCATATCTGACCATCTAAATCTCCTATTGCATCACCATTCTTCTTCATTAAAAAGAAAGACAGCAAACTCTGACCTATCCAGGACTATCAAAAACTCAATGAAATAACAATTAAAAATCAATACCCCCTCTCATTGATTTCAGAATTAATAGACAAGCTATAAGATGCTAAATATTACACCAAGCTTGATGTCTAGTGAGAATACAACAATGTCCAGATTAAAGAAGGGGATGAATGGAAGGCAGCATTCAGAATGAATTGAGGGCTATTTGAACTCACAGTCATGTTCTTTAGGCTCACCAACTCTCTAGCAATGTTCCAATGGATGATGAATGATATATTCAAGGATCTCATTGCCACTGGAAAGGTCACTATTTATCTTGATAACATTTTGATCATGTCAAAAACAAAGGAGGAGTACAGAAAGCTGGTCCAACAAATACTAGCTCTCATGAGGAAACACAAGCTGTTCCTTAAAGCAGAGAAATGCAAGTTCGAGATACTCAAAACTGAATACCTCAGAGTCATCATTAGTGAGGGAAGCATCTGAATGGACCCTGTTAAGGTAACAGGGGTAACTGAATGGCTAGAATCAGTCAAAAAAAAGGAACTACAGTTGTTTCTTGGATTCACCAACTTTTACTGATAGTTTATCTGAGATTACAGCAAAATCGTCTGACCCATGACACAACTAACTGGCAAGGCTCTTTGAGTCTGAAGCATCACTCAACAAACCACCTTTGACAATCTAAAGTGGTGACTAGCCAAAGACATTGTACTTGCTATCCTCACTGAGGAAGAGAAATTCCAAGTCGAGGCTAACTCCAGTGAGAGGGCTATCAGGGTCATACTCTCACAAGAACAGGAGAGGAGATGGCAGCCAGTTGCATTTCTTTCCAAAGCACTGATGACCACTGAACAAAACTATGAAATCTATGACAAGGAGCTACTTGCAATTATGCTTACTCTAGAGGAATGGTGACATTACCTAATTGGAGCTATAGAGATTTTTGAGATCTGGACAGATTATCAAAATCTTCAGTACTTCTGACAGCTGCAGAAATTAAACTGCTGACAAGCCAGATGGATCACTGAACTCAGTCAATATCAGTATATGCTGCATCATAAGGTGAAAGTAGTGAACAAAAAAGCTGACCTTCTCAGTCAGAGGGTAGATCATGATCAGGGAGGAAATAATAATAAAGGAGTAACATTATTATGGCCTGAACACTTTAGAGCTATGATAATGCTCATAGAGGAAGAGATCTATGAATGGATCAAGAGTGCTATCCAGGACAATCATAAATGAGACCAATGAATGGCTCTATCTCTCAATCATGAATGAGTGTTATGATTTTCTACTTATTCTTTCTTTTCACATCACACCCTTATTTATGCTTAGTCATAAAGTCTAGACCAATTGCTCATTGTGGGAGATAGCTTAGTCACCCAAATAACAACCATCCTTTCAAGTAACTCATGATAATGCTCAATAATATAAAAGCCCTTTTATGTATAACAATGATGCTCGAGGACAATGAGTACAACAGACAGAGGAAACTACAATAAGTACTTTGTATTATTAGCACAGCATGAACAGTATTTAAGGAGCTCACTCATCGCTGGGATACTCCAGCTTCGAGCTAAAGTTTATAACTATACCATTCTATTCTTGAGCCATTACTGTGGCCTTGTGACATATCGACCCAAAGACACAATCAGTGAACTCAGGTGATCTCTTGAAGTGCAAAGAGACATCTGCTTATCATGTGTTTAGATCCACGTGATGCTTGGATCTAACAATTAGCTTGAAGCTTTCACCTTCTCTTTCTCAAGCCCAATTATGCTGAGAAACCGAATGCCCCCAGCAACAATCGCTGACTTGAATCACAACTTCTTTGAGCTTATAGCTTTCATTATTGGAACACTGCTCAGCCTTCTCGCCATCATTACTCTCTGTCACAGATGACAATCAGTAACAGCTTGGATAGTCAGGCACTATCAGGCATTCCAGCAGATTCAACACATACTATGAAATGTAATCCCAGACCTCCCTTTCCATGACATCCCTGCCTCTGTCAGAATGACCTTCCAGCCACAAGAGTGACCCCTATCAGAAGCCAGAGATAATGACTCACATCCAGAGAGCCTTCACAAGGAAGAAGGACCCTGGTACCCCCCTCGACGATACAGCAGAGACCACCACCCTGCTCTCACAGGGTTCCAGAACCTGTGGACGATGAACGTCACTCAGAAGCCTAAAGAGGTCCCTGACAATGTTGCTCCAACAGTTTCAGCCTCTAAGCATTCTCTCTCTCCAGTCCTC